CGCGCACACATCGTATACGAGCGTAACCTCAAGGATTTGCATGGGTGTAGAACCATGACGAGAGGTACCCTCCCAACCGAACTCGGTAGACTTGTCAAATCAACAAATTTATGGCTTGGATCCAATGCACTCGAAGGCCCCCTTCCTTCAGAGTTGTTCCTGCTGACTGACCTCAATGAAAGCGTTGTTCTGGGTAACCAGTTTCTATCAGGAACTATTCCAAGTGAGATTGGGATGCTCTCGAATCTTTGGGGAATGTTCCTTGCAGGCAATTCACTATCTGGCAGCATACCGACTGAAGTGGGTCTCATGACCGCTTTAAATCAGCTCTATCTCGCAAGAAACAATCTCACCAGCACATTGCCAACAACCGTAGGCACCATGCAGAACATGACTTATCTGTATTTCTCGCATAACCATGTCAATGGGAGCATTCCTACAGAGATTGGGACAATGAGCAACTTGGAATATCTTGATTTTGAGAACAACACCATGAGTGGTACTGTCCCAGCTCAGGTTGGTCAGCTCTCTGCTTTGATACAGTTCAGAGCGAATGACCAGAGTTTTTCTGGGGCTTTGCCCCATGAACTAGGCATGCTCTCTAATCTGAAGTTCTTGGATGTTGGTCAGTGTCAGCAACCAAACTAACCCACAATTCCCTAGAATTCATGCACAATTTGCCACTCCTGGAACGAAGTCAAACTGCGAAACAGAGATATTTCTCTATGGCCTCTTCAAGTGAGATTGGGCTATTGGTGAATTTGACTTGGCTAGTGCTTGACTCCAATTATCTTTCGTCATCCATTCCACCCGAATTCTTTGCTGAGCTGCGTTCTTTGGAACACCTACACCTGCAGGACAACCATCTGACTGGGGCCTTGCCTTCTGAGATTTCTGCTTTGAGGTCTTTGGTGGACCTGCGGTTGAATGCAACATTTCTGAATGGGACTATTCCAACCGAAATAGCATTGTTGGCCCCAAACCTGGAACATCTTGATCTATCTTCCACCAACATTTCAGGGAGCATACCCTCAGAACTTGGTACCATGACCTCACTGACATGGTTGAAACTGGACAATACGCAGCTCAGTGGGGAGATACCGACAGAATTGAGCAACTTGGCGGTCAATGGCAGTCTTGCTAGGTTCAACATCAATGACACCCATGTCAGTGGCGAAATTCCATCAGATCTCTGTGCCGTTCCCGATTTTCACTTTGATTGTTCTTTTGATCTGTGTGGGTGTTTTTGTGTCTGCCTTTCCCTGGCTCATGGGAATTGGCAAATATCTCTTCTGGATGACTTTAATGTCACAGATGATGGTCTTTGGGGTTGAGAGACAAGCACTTGTGGAAGGCTGTTGTGCGCGCACGGGGAAAGGCAAGGCGATGATGCTCAAATGAATCTCCTGGGCTCTCGGGCACTTCAGTGGCTTCACTCAGGTCTGTGGGCAAACCCAATGGTCGAATGCGATAAGGGGATGGAAGATGTATTTTTGTACCAGCTAGTAATGAGCTGTTCTTGTACTGACTAGCTAGAAGGCACCAGGGGATTCGATTCCTGCCCATTGAAACGTGTAGCGATCGAATCTGTAGCAGGGCCAACACCCTTCTCCGCCAATAGTTGCATTTCTTTCTTTGGCTCAACAATAATACTAGCCCCAGCGGAAACGGATTCGATTCCAAAGGAGGAGAGTCCAGGCTGCATCCTGGCTCCATGTTCCCCTGTCTTTCCCCTGCGGTAGCTACACCAGCCAGCATTCATGGTACAGAGGGTCCGATCCCACATGGTCTCACACTCCAGGCCCCACACCAGCAGGACCTGCGACAGGCTCAACAACAAGCCGCCCTACCTGTATTAATGAACGTTTCTGGACGGCAGCTCATTGCAAAATGACATGAACCTGAACCCTCATGAGCTTTCGTGGAAACCGGTCATCTTCTCCCACACGGCGTCATTGTTGAGATCATCCTCTTCCATTGCCAAGAATCAAACATCCTCAAGCCAAAGCCAAGCCAATCCTTGCAAAGACGATGGGCAAACGATTACTGCAAAAGGTGTCTCGCAAGAATGATGGCAGTAGTGTGAGTGGCAAGGGGAAGATTCCCATTTTGAAGGTGGTACAAGTGCTTGTGGCCGCCGTGATTGGCTTTTACGTGGCCTTTTTAGTGTCTACTACCCGACAAGCCACGTCTCTGTCGGATGGGGCTACTCCTGAACGAATACAACCAGACAGCAGCAGCAGCAGCAGTAGTGTGCAACGAAAAGCTGCCGAAATGGACAATCCACAACAGTCTTCTACTACTGCTACTATTACCATTGGCTATGCCGTGTCGGTGACGGGCTGTGGTTCGGATCCTCTGGAAGAAGGGGCTGCCGTCTTGAAGCATTCGATTCACTTGACATCCATTCATGGCAATACTGGCAACAACACTACTAGCAATAAAAGTGGCAAGTACGACTATCAAATGTACGCCATTTATCATCCCCAAGCAGCGCCGTGTGTGGCATCGTTGCAAGAATTGGGTTACATACTGCTGGAACGCGACACACCGATTGCCGTGGCCGACATGGAAGGCGACTGGTTACGAACGCATATTGAAAAGAATGGATGTTGTGGCGAAAAGGAATTGATCAAATTAGAAGCGTATACACTGATCCAGCATCCCGTTGTGGTCCATTTGGATTTGGATGTATTGATCTTGCAACCGTTGGATCCACTCTTTGATGCCATGATTCAAGGAGCGACGGCATCGAATGCCCAATCTCGTATTAAAGTACAATGGCCCGAAAAACCATTTACGGAACAACCAAATGCATTCATCACTCGAGATTGTAAGTTAGCCATCTCACATGGTTACACTGTTTGATATGATTTGATATTTGATTCTTACTAACGTCCTCCTTCCTTTGTCCACAGACAATATGAATCGACCGGGCAATCCGTATCCACCCGTTCAGGGAGGATTCCTCGTGGTACGGCCCGACATGGCCGTCTATCAGGAATACTTGGACATTATCAAAAAGGGAGATTTCCAAGAAGGCAAAGGATGGGGTGGCAAAGTAGGTGCCTTTTACGGAGGCATGACCATTCAAGGATTGGTTCCCTATTACTACGACGTACTACATCCACACGATGTCGTCGAACTCGATCCTTGTCAATACAATCAAATGTGCAACAATCCACGCGACAAACCCACCGTGAATGATATTGTCAATGGACGCTGTCGTACCGGCCAAGACGAATGTCAAGATTGTCGCAGTTTACCACTGGAACAGGTCATTACCACCCACTTTACACTCTGTCAAAAACCATGGTGGTGTCTCCCGCAAGACGAAGATCGCATTCAATCGCGACTGTGTCGCAAATTGCATCATGCATGGTATCAGACCCGATCGTCCTTGGAAGTTTCCTGGGGACGACCCGCTTTTGGCAAGTATCGCAATCACAAATGGAAACAGGGCGATCACTTTTTTGGATTTTGTCGCGGAGCCGGAGGACAAGGATACATTCCCATTGCCAAACCCTACGGGACACCCATTGCGAAACCATATGGACGAGCCAAACCAACGACAACCAACAACAAGGATGCCGCAGAATCGTAAAACGAGAAGATTATTTGGTTTTTGCGAACGACAACAATCAACAATAAACAACTGGATGATTCTGTGGATTCCATTCTGTTCAATCCTGGCCTTGGTCAATCCACACAAAAAACAATATCGGTTTGCTTTTAATCAATCTCGAAATTGAGACTACCGAGACAACTGCTCGCGGGACATGTTGAACTGACGATGTCCTCTGGTCAATCCACACAAAGCAAAATTGGTATGGCTAGCTAGCTGGACTGGGCAGTACGTACGTCTGGACCGGAAGACGATTTTTTTTCCAAAATGGCAGACGAGACCACTCATACCAAATAAATGTCGAGAAAGATATGGTGGTACGGGTTTGGCCTCGAAACGAACGACAGCCTCCGTCCAAACGACCCTTTTCTTTTTCTAGAGGTACCACTGGTACCGTACCGCTACGAACCATGGTAATGATGCATGGAAAGGAAGTTTCAAGCTAGCAAAAATTTCCTATCGCGCCAATTCGGACGCTTAGATTATACCATAGAGTAGGGTACAGCAGTACTAGTACATTATAAGAATATTACAAACATCATACAAACTTTTTTTCAACCAACGCTCATGGTTGTTGCGTTATCAACTTCCTGTCACAACGAAAGACGACGACGTCACTGCGGATGCCAACTCAAGGAAAAATTAGCTGTTCATGCACACTCCTGCCCAACAGGGATTCCCTCTTGTCTTGTGCTGTGAACAGGCACACACAGAAACAACCACAAAGGTTGCTGGAGCAGTCAAAGTGCAGCTCTTCAAAGGAGCAAAGTTGAGAAGGAATTTCTCCCGTGACAAAGGTATCGTTCAAGAGCAGTTTGCTGAGGCTGCCATTGACAGCCAAATTTGTCAGCTCCACAGGGAGGGAGCCACTGAGATTTGTCCTGTCCAAATCGAGCCATGTCAGTGATGTCATGCCTCCAAGTTCGGAAGGGATGCTGCCAGAAATGCCAGCATTAGCAGAGAGGTCAAGGAACTGTAGGCTAGATGACAAGAGTCCCAGTGTTGATGGGATGTTTCCTTCCATATTATTGCTGTTCAGATAAATCCCTTGTGCCCTGCTCAAGAGGCCAATTTCACTTGAAAGTGAACCTGTGAGGGAATTGTCATCCAAATGGAAAGACTTGACATTGGAGATCCTCCAAAGCTCACTTGGGATGACCCCAGTCAGAAACTGGCCATATGCCCCAAAGCCCCATGATATCTTGGTTAGTGAGCCAAGTTCTGATGGGAGTGATCCTTCAAGCATGTTCGCACCCAGGATCAAGTTCGTCAACTGTGTCATCAACCCAATCTCAGTTGGGATGCTCCCTCTTGTCGATGTTACCGCCCATTGCAAATCAACCATGTTGGTCAAGAGGCCAAGTTCTGTCATGAGGGTTCCTGTCACTGGGTTGTTGTGAATATAGAAATACTCCAGAAGAGTCAGGTGGGCAAGCTCGGATGGCACAAGGCCTCTGAGCTTATTGAAATCCAGGATGAGCTCTCTGAGGGCAGTCATCTGGCCAATTTGAGTTGGGACTCGTCCTCGGATATTGTTGGAAGCCAGATCCAAAACTTCCAGCTTTGTCAAAAAGGCCACCTCTGGAGGAAGTGTTCCAAAGAGTCCATTTTTTGTCAGTCTTAGATAGAGCAAGCTTCCGTCGGAATCACATGAAGTTGAGATAACAAAGCCAGTCCCTCCCCAACTGAGGCCCTTTGTTTGCCATTCACATTCATGGTGAGCATGAGACAACCAGTTTTCATTGATAGTCCATGCCTCCCCATTGGTAGCAATATACAAAGTTACCAAAGTAAATCGCTGCAGTTGTTGGTAAGGACTGTAGTTTTCCAGCAGGGTATCATTCTGAATCCAAGCATAGGCCAGAGCCTGTGGAGAGAAGTGGTCCGCTTGTATTGCCTTTATAGTATAGGCAGGTAGCTCCAAGGTGTACTCATACATGGTTGGTGCCAAAGTAGGAGACTGTGAGGGCATCTCAGAAGGAGGCAGCGGTGGATCTCCTGGGAAGATAGTACCTGTTGCCGCTAACATCAACAAGACAAAAAGAGCGAATCCCAGAAATAGGACTGCATAGGATCTTGTCAACTCATACCGCTGGCGTTGTACTTTTGTTGCTGCGGCCTCCGGCGATGGGCTCTTGTATTCGCTGGCATGGATATCAATTTCCATCATGGATTCCACAAGGCGAGCTTTCACCAGCCCTTGATTGCGCTGTGATGTGAGTTCCTCAGTGGCGCTGTGAGCCTTGGAATCAATGCTACTTTGAATGGACCCCCCCAATTCAAGTCGGGCTGCTTCCAAGTCATCGTGAAGGCGTTTGTTGGGCAGCAGCTGACCGGAATCTTCGTTTTCTGCACTGGCCCGTATCAGTGCAGAGAACCGTAGGGGTGCAATTCTGGAAGGTTTCACCCCTGGAGCTGCACCATAGGCCCCAGGCTGTACAGGTCCATCAATACGATTTTTGGCGTACTGGCTGTTGTTTTCGTCACTCAGCTCTTCCTTTTCTTCCCCTTCCAAACAGACCGATGGAGCAGCAGAGCTTTGCATTGCAATCTGTTGACGTGCGAATTCATCCGAGATATCGGACCCATAATCCGAGCCGTAGTCGCTCGGGTGTCTAGCCAGGGACTTTATCAAATTGTCAACAGTGTCTTGTGGATTGCCGGGTTGTGCCAACAACGGAGTTGATGCATGATTGCGCATTCTTTCTTGCTGTTCTCCACCACTATCATCCATGAGGCTAAATTGTTCCCGCCAATCTTTTTCCGAATCCGCGGGCATCTTGGCAGCCCGGGGCTTTTCTGCCTCGTGGTTATGTACTTGCGAAGGCGCTTTCTTATGGAAGGCTTCGCCCAATGCCAACGAAACTGCTGGATTCAGGCGAGTCAACCGTTCCTGTTCTTTGATTTCATCCATACACTCATTGCCGCGATTACTGCTCTTAGATTGTTCATCATCAGGAGTCGAAGTCTTTCCCTGAAATTGTCTCAACTGATGCCGCTGGTGGTTGGAAGGCTTTCTTCTTGGTAGTAGTGGTCTGGACCCGGCTTTAGGGCGTTGTATAGCTGGGAGTTTTTGGTTCTGTGTTTGTGGAGTGGTTGCACCGGTCTGTTGATTTTTGCTGTCATCATAATCTTGTAAAACCAATGTAGCGGCTGGGGAGAGTTGCGTCAGTTTTGCCTCTTCTTTGATTCGAGCCATCTCATTGTCCGTCAACCCAGATTTTTTCTCTTCATCGTTTGGTTTGTGCCAGTCCATTGTATTAGTGGACAGCTGTGAATCTGACATTGGCACTGGAGGTTCATGGTTGCCAGCTGCAGTGGATGAAACGCCTTCCACATGATCCGACGTGGCTTCACCTTGGCGAGAGCTTGTTTCTGCTTCTGCTTCGCCTCCATCACCAACAGAGCTCGACTCTCTGCTCATAGCGTTCTGGTCCGTTGGAGCTTCCTTCATGGCTTCAGCAATACTACACTGTAGTAGCTATGCAGAGATTGTTTTTTGTCACTGAAATACTGAAATACATGTACCGGTACCAGAAGGCACCCGGTTGGCGATGATTAGTCGCCTTTAAAAGCAAAAGTCGTTATAAAAACGTGAAAGTCGTGTTCGAAGTCGCGATAAAGTCGCGGTAAAGTCGTGAACGACTTTAAAGTCGCGATAAAAGTCGCGCTAAAGTCGTTGTGAAATAGAACGATTTTCTTAGTAAAGTCGTGTGAAAGTCGCGGAAGTCGTGAAAGTCGCGGTAATAGTCGCGGCAAAATCGCGGTAAAGTCGTTATGGACTTTAAAGTCGCGAAAGAGCGCGACGTTTGGCGATTTTCGCGACTTTCAAGAAAACACGACTTTTTGACGTCAGCTGGTGCCTTCCGGGGAATGTTCCGTATCAAGTACGCACATGTACCGGCCTGGTCATGGGGAACCTGCAGCATATGCATGTCGTTTCACGGAAGCCTGAGATGTCAAGAACCCCCACGAGGAGGGAAAAGAGGATTTTAACAATAATTGACAAAACGTTGAAAGTCAAAATTGAAAATTTAAGTCGAAATTCCACTGTTACCTCGAGCAGAAGAAAGTTCGATCCGCTCGGGATGACTTGGATTGAATTCCCTTAGTTAGTTTGTGGCAGTGCAGAAGTGTTTCTTACTCAACTTGTAGCGCAAGCATCAGGTACACAAGAAAATGTGTCTCTTTGGGACAAACTCTCAGCCACAGGCCTACAAAATGAGGGGAACCGTGCCTATAGAAACATTGTCTCTTCACCGCCTCAAATGTTTTGAATGACTCCCAGAGCCAAGGAAACTACCTCACATGCCAGTAAACTCCATCAATTCATTACTAATGTTACGGCTCTTTGGCATCACCCTCTGCACTCCCAGGCCTGCCCAAAACACTTGCTTGAGCCCCAAATTGGCAGACACAATTACAACCACACAGATCATCTGAGCAATCAAAGTTCAGATCGGGGATCAGACAAAGATCAGATGGAATCCAATCAGTCAAAAGTGTCCCGTTCAAACTGAGCATCTCAAGCACACCACTCAGAGCCACATTTCCCAGTTCTAAAGGAACAGTGCCACTGAGGTTTGTGTCATGAAGACTCAACCAAATCAGCGAAGACAGGCCTCCAAGTTCAGAAGGGATACTTCCTGAAAGGCTGGTAGATGAAAGGAAAAGATCCTCCAACAGAGTCAAGCCTCCCAGTTCTGAAGGAATAGCCCCCCAGAGATTGTTGTCATTATTGACAAAACTGCCAATTTCACTCAGAATTGTGCCAGTGAGCAAAAGGTCATCAAGGTACAAGAACTCCAGATCAGTCAACCTGCCAATTTCAGTTGGGATGGTTCCTGTCAAGAACTGGGTGTATAAGGATAGAGTGTGTGACAGATTTGAGAGCAAGCCAAGCTCCGATGGAATTTGCCCATCAAAAAGATTTTGCTCCAGAAATGCAGAAGTCATTCGGGTCAACAAACCAAGCTCGGTTGGAATGGTACCTCTTGTCATTGTATCTGCCCAATCTAACTCTATCATGTTCGTCAAACGACCGAGTTCTGTCATGATTGTCCCAGTCACTGGGTTGGTGTGTACAGAGAACTGCTCCAAGTGAGTCAACTGTCCAATCTCAGATGGCACTTCCCCAGTGAGCTGGTTGGTGTGCACGAAGAGTTCTTCTATCTTGACAAAACTGCCAAATTCACTTGGAATAGTGCCCGAGAGAAAAAGGTCATCAAGGTACAGGGATTCCAAGTTAGTCATGGTACCGATCTCAGCTGGGATTGTTCCTGTCAAGAACTGGGTATATAATGATAGAACATATGACAGATTTGACAGCAAGCCGAGCTCTGATGGGATTGGCCCATCCAGAAAGTTCAGCTCCATAAATACAGAAGTCATTCGGGTCAACAAACCAAGCTCGGTTGGAATGGTACCTCTGTCATTGTATCGGCCCATTCAAAATCTATCATGTTCGTCAAGAGGCCAACTTCTGTCATGATCGTCCCAGTCACTGGGTTGATTTGAACTGAGAATCGCCCCAAAAGAGTCAACTGTCCAATCTCAGATGGCACTTCCCCAGTGAGCTGGTTCGCATTAAGGTATAGGGATTCCAAGTCAGTCATCCTGCCAGTCTCAGTTGGAATGGTACCTCTTGTCATTGTATCTGCCCATTCAAAACCTATCATGTTCGTCAAGAGGCCAACTTCTGCCATGATCGTCCCAGCCACTGGGTTGTTTCGAACCCAGAACCGCTCCAAAAGAGTCAGCTGTCCAATTTCAGATGGCACTTCCCCAGTGAGCTGGTTCGCATTAAGGTATAGGGATTCCAAGGCAGTCATCCTGCCAATCTCAGTTGGGATTGTTCCTGTCAAGAACTGGGTGCGTAATGATAGAAATCGTGTCTGATTTGAGAGCAAGCCAAGCTCCGTTGGAAGCGTGCCTCTTGTCATTGTTTCTCTCCATTGCAAACTTATCAGGTTGGTCAAGAGACCAACTTCCGTCATGATCGTCCCAGCCACTGGGTTATTTTGAACCCAGAGCCGCTCCAAAAGAGTCAGCTGTCCAATCTCAGATGGCACTTCCCCAGTGAGCTGGTTCGCATGAAGGTATAGGGATTCCAAGTCAGTCACTCTGCCAATCTCAGTTGGGATGGTTCCTGTCAAGAACTGGTTGTATAATGTTAGAACACGTGACAGACTTGAGACCAAGCCAAGCTCTGATGGGATGGTGCCTTCTAGCAGATTTTGCTCCATAAATACAGCAGTCATTCGGGTCAACAAGCCAAGCTCGGTTGGAATGGTACCTCTTGTCATTGATCTTGCCCATTCAAAATCTATCATGTTCACCAAGAGGCCAACTTCTGTCATGATCGTCCCAGTCACTGGGTTGGTGTGTACAAAGAATTGCTCCAAAAGAGTCAACTGTCCGATCTCAGAGGGCACTTGACCTGAGAGCTTATTGGTATCAAGGATAAGCTCTCTGAGGGAAGTCATGAGTCCAATTTGACTTGGGACGCCCCCCCTGATCTCATTTGTGGCAACATCCAATACTTCCAGCTTCGTCAATAGGCCTACCTCTGGGGGGAGGCTTCCGGAAAGCCCATTTTTGGTCAAATAGAGGTAGAGGAAGTTTCCACCAGGATCACAGTGCCTTGTCATTCCATCACCAAGTAGACCCACCCCCTTTGTTTGCCAGAGACACTCATGATCAGCATAAGAGAGCCAGTTTTCATTGATATCCCAGGCCTCACCATTTGTAGCATAGTAGATCGTGGTCAGGGCAAACCGTTGTTGTTTTTGCGCATCCGAATAATCCTCAAAGTTGGGATCATCTTGGATCCATCTGTAGGCTCTTTCTTGAGGTGAATCTAAAGGACCATTTTGCAGTGTGTCAACAGTGTACTCTGGCAGTGGAAGAAAGAATGGAGTAGGTGCTATTGTTGGGCTTCCAGATGGAGCATTGGATGGTGCTTCCGTAGAGATCACAACAGAATCTTTGGTGGCCTTATCAAAGACTCCAGACCACAACAGAATGAGTACAATGATAATTGGCACAAGCGCCATACAAAGAATAGTGCCCACGTAGTAGTACTTCTTCTGTTCTCTATTTTGCTGTGCTTCATCTGCCGTGGGCCCACGATAACTGTCCGCTCGGCCAAAAATGGTGCTGGTCGATTCTGTGACAGCTCTGGCTTCAACCAATCCCATAGCTGTTCTTGTTCCCGCCTCTGTCAAGACAGGGAGGGTTGTTGGATCATGAGGGGTATCCGCGATCTGGTAGGGATTGTGTTGGGAATCATCAGGCTCTGGCTGTGCAGGACTGCAATATCGAAGGGATGCAACTCGGGTTGGTTGCATACCTGGAGCTGCTCCAAAGGCTCCGGGCTGAACAGGACCTGCAATGCGCTTTTTGGCTTGTCGGCTGTAGGTGATGCTATCATCCTCTTCCTCTCGGAACACCTCTCCATTTGCAGTGCCGATGGTTGCAGTAGTCTCGCTGGTTGGAGCGGACGCATCAAGTGTCATGACTGGGTCTGGGACAGGATCCGGTTGCCTTGACCGTTTGACAATGGCTTTCATCGGGTCATCTGGGCTGTGGCTCAAATATGACTCTCCCTTTTCCTTTTTCTCTGGGTGTGTTCTTGTAGGTTGTGGAAATGTTGGCGATGTAACACTACTACCATTATTGGCTGTGAATGATTTCTTGGGCAAAAATGAAAGCTGGCCACTGCTTTGGAAATTTTCAAACCTGGCGGCTTTCATTGCGGAGAGTGCAATATGTGCAGAATTCATAGTAGTCTCCATTTTCTCTGGGTATGTTCCAGGTTGTGGAAGTGTTGGTGGTGTCTCCTTTGGGGCTCCATTTTTCTTCTGTCCGGTAGACTCAATCCCAGCGTTGTCAATTTGGGTGGCGGTGGCTGGAGTGGATGTTCGTGTTGTGTGCTTTCTGCTGGCTGCTGCTGCTGCAGGGGGTGGCAGTGATCCATGTGAGGTGTTGTTGTTCAATGCCAATCCTATTGCAGGGTTCTGTCGTGTTATTCTCTCCTGTTCTTTGATTTCCTTCATCCAATCATTACCAGTTCTACTGGTTTGTTGATGCTGCCTATCATCAGTTGTGGAGTTGCTTTTGGGGCCATTTTTGATCTCAGCCTTCTGCTTTCTTGCTGGAGAAGCAGTCGTTCGCACCTGCTTGTTACTCGACTTGCTGCCTTTTGGGGAGGTATCCAGCGCACCAGAAGAGGTGTTGTTGAAGGCCAATGCGATAGCAGGATTCATTCGGCCAATCCGTTCTTGTTCCTTGATTGTATGCATCAATGTGTCACTATCGTTGCTTTTCAACTTGCCGTTGCCTCCGTCGGGTGGATCTTTCGTCGTTGGTGGTGATTGGTCTTGTTGGGGACGGCAATCCTCGGGGCTGCCGCCGTTGCTCTGAGGGCTTTTGGATGGAGCTTCGTTGTTCATCGCTGAGGTATTCCAAGTCAATGAAAATAAATGTGGATGACAATCGTGTTACCGCGTTTGCTATTCATGGATTCATGGAGGTTGCTGCTGCTCGTTTTTTTGTTTTGGGGTGATGCCACGAGATGTCATGTCCATGTGCAAACGAAAATAGCAGTAGGCAGATGAAAGAACGAAGGACGAACTTTGAAGAAGTAGACTAGCTAGTGAACTGGTGCGCAGTGCCAGTCGGGAATTTATTGAATGGTATTCACGGTTTCTCTTGGGGTGATGTGCTTCCCTTTGCGACATGCGACAGATGTTATGTACCCGTCCATGCGCAGACGTACATTCATTCGTACTTGTACCGTACGAGCGAAGGTGCAAGCTTGGCCTTTGAGTGTGCGGGAGAAAGATGAGCCAGTGTCACGTGGGACAAACTAATTTTAAAAAGGCAGAGCTGTTATTGTGGTCTCAAAGTCACCAGAAAACGAAGAAAGGAAACTAGGTCTACATACATGTAGAAAGATGCGAGATTTATGGCTCCCACAGTAAAAATGGCGTTACTACCGGTATGGGTTAGAGAGGGAACTATGGAGACGATTGGTTGCCAGAGTGGGGTCTAGCTAGCTAGAGTACTGGACTGCAGGTTCGGTGGAAGATCAATAGCTGCAAGTAGCTACATGTAGTCGAAGGAGACGTTTACCAGCAGCTCTTACAACGGTACGGGTAGGACGTTCTCCCATGATTTTATACCGAAGCCGCTAGTGAGTTGAGGGTTTTCCTAGACAAAACATTGAAGTCACAATAATTTGATTGAATCGAATCATTCGTAATCCATTCGAGCCAGGAAATTCTTGTCGTCGGCTTCGATTCCATTCATTGAGTCTTCGTGTCCATCCAAGTACGTGTCTGTCCCTCGAGTCAAGTCGAGTTATCACAGAACGTCCTCCAATTTACCGCTTCAAGGATTGATGATTCCACTCTGTCGTTTGGGGCTCCGACTTTGCTTTGATCTTCCATAATCAGCTCTACCATCAGGGTGGCTGAGCTGTGGGAACCCTTCAGGATGACGAGGTACACGGGTATTGGCATGTAGATTCTTTCGACTGCCAAAAGGGAGAACGGTATATGCGCTTATTGTTGTTGCTGTATGCCACTGTATCCAAAGGTAGTTTGTACAGCAGCCCATCCGTATAAGCAATAAACTCGTTCTTAGCATCATAATATCAGTTTCCAGAAGAATGGAATGCAGCTAGTTATTAGCTGTCTCCCATTGGAACGTCCTGGGCCACATCAAAGACGAGCAATGGCAGCATGCGTCCAGAAATGCTGCTGGAAGCCACTTTCCCAACTCTTTTGCCTCCCATTCTCTGATAAAAGAGCTCGGCGTGCGGATCACTTTGAACCATCAATTGTTGCCCACCTCTGGACATTACGAGGGCAAGTGCCTTTGTCAGTAGAGCCTTGCCAATCCCACGACCCATGAAAGAGGGGTCCACAAACAAGGCATCCAGTTCCCAGCAAGCAGTATTATTAGGAGATGACTGTGATTCATCCTGCTGCTGTTGTCGCTCAATGGTGAAAAATCCAGCAATCTGTTCCTCTTGTTGTCCAACGGTATGCATAGACAAAGTGCCACTCGTACATGAAGTTGGGTTGGCAACAAAGACGTTGTGGTCGAAGATACTATCTGGTTCCACAGCCAGCTCCTCTTTGCATTGATCCATAAACGTAGTATCATAGCCCCAATGCGCTTTCGAAACCAGAGCCAGTTGGTTCAGAACAGGAATGTCCGTCAGAGTGGCTTCACGGATGGAAACGCTCCTCACCGTCTTGCTCTTCTTTGTCCCACTTGTGCTCCCAATCTCGGAACCATGAGCCATCGTCACAGCAGCAGCGAGTGACAGTCTTTGAGAAGGTTGTTTGTGATGATGTTTGATCCAGAGGCAGCGAGTCTGTTGGAAGAGATGCTTGGCCGTTGGCAGCACCATGTAATGTTGTCTCATGGTCGATGGTCGAAACTTTGTCATTTGCCAGTGTAGTGCTCCTGACGATTTAACGCAGCACAAGCTTTAAGTCCTTCAATCGCTAGTACCTAGTAGCGGTACTGGTAGCTATTAGTAGCTATTAGTCCTTGTGGGTATCGAGGCTGAGGGCAGCACGAGTATTCTTCATAATCATGGGGGAAGCAAACATCCCATTCGATTCGCCAGCAAGAACACCACAGCCTACTCGCAATTACATGTACGACTGTAGCTTCTTAAAAGGGGAATGCTCCAGCAAACAAAAATGCAGCCATGGTGATGCCAAATGCCGTGCAGAGGAAGAGCGTTCGTGTGGGACGATGAGTCCAACACGTTCGTAGTTCGTACTGGTGGAAGTTTCGATCGAGAATTCGTCTCCAGAGTCCACGTTCCATTCGTCGTCCTCGGCCAACAAGGTCCGAGTTGGTTTCGTTCTTTCTCACGAGCTGCCTCGAAACAATGAGATAATCCAATAGCTAGGGATGCGAGTAATGTTGGTCGCCACACAAATAAATGTTCAGCGCCTCCATCCATGGCAACCGACAAGCTCCTCCCAGCGCAGGACCTTGTCGTCTCGGTCGGGTTCACCAAAAGGGCACTTCCGGTTCGGCAAATGCCAGACTGCGTTCGTGGCCACGAATCTTAAAATCGGAACTGTTTGTTCCATCGTCGTATACCGATTCATCGTTCATCATAGCCTGCTCCTGTTGTAAACGCTACCGTAGCATTCGGTGATTGTCTCTGGCATCAAGAATGGGGACGACAGCCAAGGGAGGATAACGACGGATAGTCTCCAAGGCGAAGAGCTTGAGACTGATTCGATACTGGGGAAATGCCAAAGGAGTTGTTGTACTTGCATTGAATTTTCCCATGGGGTCGAGTGTGTCATCGAGAGCAACGTGAGCACAGCGATTTTCAGGATTGGTGAGCGGAAAGGTGGAATGCAAGGCACGACATCCAATGAAATTCCCATCGGCATATCCATCATCGGTCAGTGCAGGCGATGGCGACAAGCAAGTATAGCATTCGGTATCATTGAAAAAAGGGGAAGACCCGCATCTTGCTTGTGGAAAGAGTTGACAGGCTTGCTGTAGGACGTCGTGCAAATGAATGCTCTGGTTCTGTGTCCACTGAGCATGTCGTCGAAAGAAGAACTTGAGCCATTTCGGAGGGATAGAAGAGGCTGATTCGCTTCACATAGTTTTTTACCGGATTGTAAAGATCTTGGTCATGGTGGCACACACCAGCTTGCTTCTGCTTGGTTGGAAGCCCTCGATGCATTGAAGACGGTTGTCTTTTTGCCTTCGCTCTCGTCGATCGTGCTTGGACTTATCTTTCGTTCGAGCGAGGTGCAAACCATGCAAACAATGGAGATTCGAACAGCGCGGCCAGCTTGCCCTTGCTCCGTCCAAGTCTCCTTGTGCTCTGTGTGCTAGCTAGCTAGCGGTCGACCTGTTGGGCTGGTGGTGTTTCTTTCGAACCACACAGGTGATGGATTGACGAAGCAAAGCAATGCGTTGGTGTCAATCCCCGCCATTCTTTGGAGGATGTTTACCCTGATAGTGCTCCAATCTACGACGTGCGGACGATTACATGTACAAACGAAAATGTCATCAAGAAACTTTTCCTAAAAGTCAATTTTGCTTATCTAATAGACTTGCCGCTATTCTTCAGCAGCAATGCTGCGACCAGCTTACCATGCTGATGCCATGTTCAAATCTTGTGTGGCAATCACATCAAAGACACACGCCTTCTTTTCTTCTGGGTCTACCAAGTGATTGCAGGCTCGCTCAGCATCTTTCTCGGTCATAGTAGACTGACCAAGGCGGCGTTTCTTAACACTCTCCGCATACTTCTTGCCATCAAAGGAGGCAGGCATCACACACTTCTTGCCAACAACGGCACCTTCGTAACTGTGGAAGAGCTTGGGCTCACTATCCAACACCTGCCACTCTTGACCAAACTTGTGAGCGTCTTCAATAAAGGTGACTCCATCACGAGCAAGGCGCTTGCCGTTGTGGTCAAAAGAGCCCAACAGACCAGTGGCACCCTTGAAGTCGTCAGGGTTGCCAATCCAGTTCACATCCACACGGACAAAGGACTTGTACGTCTTGATCTGCATCCTCTCGTGATCGTCACCATACAAGTAAATGTTGGCCTCCCGGACACCAGGACTGGATTGCTTGTAGCGGACCAAGGAACCAGCAAGTTCGGTTTTATGGAACTTGCCATCTTCAAAGTCCATGATGGGCTCGCCATTGATAAAGAGCCACTCATCAGTTTCAGCATTAGCTTGAATCTCCAAGGTTTCTTCTCCCAACTTGAGGACGGCGATCTCCGCAGAGGACCAGAAGTCAGTAATCTGAGTCAGACAAGAAGAAAGAACACGAAAGGTGAGGTATTGAGCGAACAACAAAAATAGTAAACTCCCTACATGCATGCAGAAATGCTTACCTTAGTTCGAATGTGGATGTCCATTCCAAGCCCATTTCTGAAGCCAGGGTTGTGGACAAGGACCAAGTCACACTCTCCGTGGAAATCATACATTTCTCCACCATATGTCTTGAAATGGGGATCACCATTGACACCAGTTCGTGGCGTAGGAGTAACGACTGGATCTGTTGGTGCCGGGCATTCACAGCCACAGTCGGGGAAGGCACTCTGAGAGGCCACCATATCACCTGGGCAAGGATCACATGCACCGCAAGTGCACTCAGGGGTACATTCAGGGTAGTCGCTGGGAGTCACCATGACATCGGTACCAGGACATTCGACTGGATCACACGATGTAGGGGGAGGTGGGCACTCACAGCCACAGTCGGGGAAGGCACTCTGAGAGGCCACCATATCACCTGGGCAAGGATCACATGCACCGCAAGTGCACTCAGGGGTACAGTCAGGGAAGTCGCTGGGAGTTACCATGACACCGGTACCAGGACATTCGACTGGATCACATGATGTAGGGGGAGGTGGGCACTCACAGGCACAGTCGGGGAAGGCACCCTGAGAGGCCACCATATCTCCTGGGCAAGGATCACATGCACCGCAAGAGCACTCAGGGGTACAGTCAGGGAAGTCGCTGGGGGTCATCATGACATCGGTACCAGGACATTCGACTGGATCACATGAAGTGGGGGGAGGTGGGGGGCACACAGCAGTACAGCCTGGGAAATCTTCTGGGACCACCATGGTTCCATCAGGACATTCATAGGGGGCACAGGTGCACTCAGGTGTACAGGTAGGGAAGTCAACAGGAGTCACCATGACGCCCGAGCCAGGACATTCAACGGGATCACATTCGGTGGGACACTCCGGAGTACAGTCGGGGAAGTCACTGGGAGTCACCATCGTTCCAGAGTCAGGGCATTCCACAGGACTGCATTCTGAGGGGCACACAGGCGTACAGTCAGGGAAGTCACTCGGAGTCATTGTCGTGCCAGAGAGGGGGCATTCCACGGGGGAACATTCAGTGGGGCACGACGAGGTACAGTCTGGGAAATCGCTGGGTGTCATCGTTTCGCCTGTGGGGCATGTGATAGGGTCACATTCCGTGGGGCAAGGGGATGAACAGTCTGGGAAATCGTTGGATGTCATAGTTTCGCCGGTTGGGCATGTGACAGGGTCGCATTCAGTGGGGCAAGGAGAGGTACAGTCTGGGAAGTCGCTGGGTGTCATCGTTTCGCCTGTTGGGCATGTGATAGCATCACAGGTGCACACAGGGGTACAGTCAGGGAAATCACCAGGGGTCACCATGACATCGGAGCCAGGGCACTGAACAGGTCCACATGTACACACTGGGTTACATTCGGGGAAGTCACTCGGGATAACCATAACGCCGGAGCCAGGGCATTCCACAGCCGCACAGGTACACTCAGGGGTGCAGGTAGGGAAGTCACTGGGGGTGACCATGACATCGGTGCCGGGGCATTGAACTTCGTCGCAGCTACACACGGGTGTACAGTCAGGGAAGTCACTGGGCGTTACCATTAAATCGGTCCCAGGACATTGGACAGGTCCACAGGTGCACTCTGGAGTACAGTCGGGGAAGTCACCAGGGACAACCATGACTTTGGAGATTGGGCATTCGACGGCTTCACAAGTGCACTCAGGGGTACAGGCAGGGAAATTAGTGGGGGTCACCATGACACCAGAGCCGGGACATTCCACGGGCTCACACTCCCCACACAAAGCGTACTCAAGAGAACTGAAGGAACCCGATCCACTGAACTCAACTTCGACTTCGCAGACAGGTTTGGTGATATCAGACAAGTCAAGCTTTCCATATCCGTTGTCTCCTAACTTGTCCACATCTCTCTTGACCTGACCACCGTCACAGAACTTGGCAATGATGAAGGTCTCTTCATAGTCATCGACATCCAAAAAGTGGCCGGATGCGAGAACAATTGGATTATCGAATTTGAAGTAGATGTTTCCGCCAACGGCATCATCCGGTGGCTTGCCAGGTCCGTTTTCGTCTACAATAAGGACGTTTCCTAGGGGCTGACAGTTCTCATACTTTTTCCCCGGTTCTCCTCCACCACCGCTTCCGGGCCCGCCATCAGGGCATTTCCTGTTGGGAGCTCCCAGATCTGGATCACCGCATCCATTCTTGTTGCTACAGGATGACAGAGAACATTCAGAGGTTCGGCAAGAGCCAGAAGGCCAGTGACCATATGGGATGGCTGTGTCAAAGATACGGCAACTGTTGTCTTTTCCTCCCTTACAGGAGATGGTGGCTCCAAAGTCGTCTTTGAACTGGTTCGTGACGTAGGTTCCACGATCGAGTCCCTCAAAGTCCATGACCTTGTCAATACAGACCGGATCCGGACCCGGACTCCGATCGGAGGGGCACTCGGGGGTACAGGCGGGGTAGTCAGTGGGAGTTACCATGACGCCAGAGCCGGGGCATTCAACGGGCTCACACTGCGCGCAGTAATCATACTCCAGAGAACTGAAGGAACCCGATCCACTGAACTCAACTTCGACTTCACAGACAGGTTTGGTGATATCAGACAAGTCAAGCTTTCCATAACCGTTGTCTCCCAACTTGTCGACATCTCTCTTAACCTGACCACCGTCACAGAACTTGGCAATGATGAAGGTCTCTTCATAGCCATCAACATCCAAAAAGTGGCCGGACTCGAGAATGATTGGATTATCGAATTTGAAGTAGATGTTTCCACCAACGGCATCATCCGGTGGCTTATCAGGTCCGTTTTCATCCACAATAAGGATGTTTCCAAGAGGCTGACAGTTCTCATACTTTTTCCCTGGTTTTCCTCCGTCGCCTTCCCCAGGTCCACCTCCAGGACAGTACTTGTTGGGAGCTCCCAGATCTGGATCACCGCATCCATTCTTGTTGCTACAGGATCCAATCTTACATTTAGAGGTTCGGCAAGAGCCAGAAGGCCAGTGACCATATGGGACAGCAGTGTCAAAGATACGGCAACTGTTGTCTTTTCCTCCCTTACAGGAGATGGTGGCTCCAAAGTCGTCTTTGAACTGGTTCGTGACGTAGGTTCCACGTTCGAGTCCGTCAAAGTCCATGACCTTCTTGACACACATGTCTGCCTGAGCCCATGATGCCATGGAGGCAAGAAGTAACGAAGTCGCCAAGAACTTCATGGTTTCAATCGTAGTGCTGCGAAATGTTGTAGCAGTAGAGCACGTATATTAGATCTCAAACCCTTCTCTATCTTCAGACGATCAAACTAATACTCTTACTTACACACGGTGTTTATTGAGAGCTTACGCTTCGAGGAAAGGACAATCACTGTTGTCTCTCGCTATTTGAAGCAGAAGACGGTCGCATTGTAAGGAGAAAGATGTGGTATCCTTTTCCCTCTGGGCTGGCAAGGTAGAGGATCAAGATCGCGCACAAATTGCCAGCGATTGCTGGGTTGCTACCACCAAGACTCAACTGGTGTGGTGGTAGAGGTGCAAGTCAACGTAAGAAGATACTGGCTGGCACCAGAGTTGACATGTTGACATAGCGAAAGTCTGTAGGTCTTGATTGCCAATTGCCATGACCATGTCTTTGTTGAGGTTCACCTTCCTGCTGCACAAGTAAGTACTAGTAATTAGTAATGATGAACAAACAAGGATCAAGGAAGTCAATAGAACAGCAATTAGTTCTTGATGTAAGCATGAAGGAGACACAAGAAGTTCATTAGGAGAAAAGAAAGAGCGCAGTGAATCTAGGAATTATTGTTTTCCTTGGAAAGGTGAGATGCAAAGATTGAATGACCGTAGTTACTATTACTCGGAGTAGAAGTTATTGAGTACTCGAGTAGTCTACAGTCTACAAGTGACTGTGAGTACTGTACTCAAATAGACTACTGGTACACTACTGGTACATTGTAGTCTACCGCTCTACCGCTACCAGTTCGCTGGGTCTCACCCCAATTAATTCACGGGAATAATTAATTCACGTGTTTAGTGAAGTGCGATACTATGAATATTATCCCAACCAGAGCGCTGCAGAAACGCTACTACTAGTCCAGACTAGTACTACTAGCTACTCTAGACTACTAGCTAGTAGCTAGTAAGCCCAACTTGGTCTAGCTAGCACAGTCACGGGCTGGTCCAAATGAGCTGATGTTGCAGGCCACTAAAAGTAGAGATCGTGTAACCCGCAAGGTACTAGTATGGATCCCAAGAACTTCTCAAGTGAAGGTTTTACTCTACGAAATGTGTGCCCGAGATACAGGTAGAAAGAGAAACGGAGAGCGTTTGATGGGTGAGAGAACGGGCGCTACTGGCTAGCAAGTACGACCAAGGGGTCGAGCAACACATACCGTAGACAAAGGTGCATGACGCATGTTGGTTTGAGTATGTGTGCTCCAAAGGACCCAACTTTTTACGCAGGTTTACTACCTCTTTTTTTTTTAAAAGCAGGTTTACTAGCTTTAAGCAAGCAGGTTTACTAGCTAGCTAGTAGATGTATGTTAGTCTTTGTTTCTCGATGCGCAATGATACTGTCTTTATACTGTTGTTACAAATCCAAATAAGCAATGTGAAAATGAAGGGATCGCTTGCAAAGCTCTTGGTGCTTCTTGCCATTCTCTTGCTTGCTTGGGAGAAAAATTCCGTGCCATTTTCCGTTTTCGACTATTTTTAACATTATTAATACATGCATTTTGAGTATTTATTTTAACCACCCCAGCCGTCTTTTGTCTTTTGTGCCCAGTTCCGGCGAATCATTTTTTTAATGAATGTGGAGTTCTATGCATAGTGGTTGGGAGAACAAAGAAGCTTGATTTGAGAGCTGTGCTTCACCTTTCAATCAAAGTCAATAAACCACGAAGTCGTGAGAACAATTATTAGGCCATTAGACCGCCTCTGAATCCATCAACCAGCAAAGCAGCAAAGGCAATGACGGAGAGAAGATCCACCGAACGAACCGCGACACAGCATTTTAATTAAATAAATTTTGTCGGAACTGGCTCGACCAGAGCTACGGTAGGGTTACGGGAGTCTGCAAAACTTGCCGCCAACAAAAATGTTGCCCAACAAAAATTATGCCAATCCGGAAATGCCAGTTGGATCCACCAGCTGCCCACAAAACCATACCTGAACAAAAAAATTGACATACCACAAGCCAGAAACCCCAACCAACACACAACAACACAACACAACAACCAAGGACCATGAAAATTGAATACCTCGAAATGGTTACACCCGATGTGGACGCATTGTGCAAGATCCAGGCCACCATTCACGGAATCGAATTCGGAGATCCGGTGCCCAATCTGGGAAATGCCCGTACCGCAAAAATGGCCAATGGCGGCGTGATTGGCATTCGAGGTCCCATGCGCCCCGACGAAAGTCCAGTGACTCGAAGCTACATGCTCGTCCAAGATTTGCCAAAAGCCATGGCGGCAGCCAAAGAGGTTGGTGCTGAAATCGCCATTGAAAGCATGGATCTACCCGGCCACGGAAAAATTGGAATGTTCATCCAAGGAGGAATTGAATGCGGGTTGTGGCAGAACGAATCATGAAAAAGTCAACACTGCATTATGTTTATTGGAGAGCTGTCACATGTAGTTTTAAAGAGGAATGGCAATAATTTTTTACCTGGCTGCTGCTGCTCGGTGTTTGTGGCTTTGCTTTAGTGCTACCGTATGAACGTGGTGTTTGTGGGTATATCCACTGATATAGACCTCAGCTTTGATAGTTCAGCACAACTTTTCGCAGGTTCTTCATCCTTGCATTCCAAACCACCAATAACACAGCAAGTCTCGTTTGTACCGGTACAAACATTCTCTGGATGCCCGCACACACCCTTCCAAACGTCCTGGCACCGTTGGCCGGTAAAGAAGCAAATTTCAAAGGTACTCCAGAATCCTGTTACAAATAAAACTAATGGCCAGTATACGATACCGCCCGCAAGCAATTGGGGCGGCTGTGGTCACGGGTGTACCTCCTTCTTCCAACATCCGTGGCTCGAGGGAACTGGCTGAAAGGTCGACTCCTTCTCAACATTCAAGCACTCCAAATCACTTGCCAATGGTTTTTAAAGGAATGCTGCATGAAAATATGTTGTGACATCCTTGGTTTACCACTTTTACAGAACTGTTGCTTGTCGCAGTTTACCACTTTTACAGCACTACACTGTTGTTTGTCGCAGGTTATGCACTGGTCCATTGTTGCTTTCGACGGTCAACGATCCAAAAACCCTTCCCAGCAGGGGCAAATTGAGAATGGGTGCAACATTGGAATGCAGATAGTAATCCTTGTCGGCCACAAGCTCTGCAGTAGAGGAATATCGTCGTTCCAGCTTGGGTGTCTGATCCACGTACTGGGAGAAAGCGTCACTGGCTCCGTCCCATTCGCAGGTTCCTTGACGATGAATGCAAAATCCAAGTTTCATGTCGGCATGTTCTGTTCGATCTAATTGTGCGCGAGCCTTTTCGAACAGCGCTCGATCCGTCACGTAGGAATCCACACGACACTTCTTGCCCTCCACCGTGACTTGGGTAAAGCAATGATGCACTTGTGGCGGAAACTTCCCGCCCATCTTGTCAAAGACGGTATTGGGAATGGGCACGGCAACTACGGTGGCATCGTGGAATCCGGCCTCTCGGAACAAATGCACAAAGAGGTTGGCTTTGGGAGTGCAGTGCCCGCGCCCAAGTTGCAAGGTGGTTTCAACGGGAACAAGGTCAAACCGATTGGTAAAACCAAACGCAATCTCGTCACGGACATAGTCATGCAAAGCCACGGCCACCTCTCGAGGAGTGGACGTTGTGGCCCGCAGGGCTCGAACGATGGACTTCACGGTGGGGGTGAGTGTGGTCATGTTGCGATCGAGTTGTGGGAAAGGTTTGAGAGAATCGAGTTTGTGGGCAGAAGAAGGAGGGTGCACCTTCCCAGCTAAGAGCTCCACGTCAGCTGCAGTAAGTCCACTTTCGCTCGTGAGAACAAAAAGGAAGTCCAAAGAGAGGGACGTCAACGCAAAAAACACCTGCCGAAGCGGCAAAACAAAGATTTTGAAGCGCTGTCTGTGGAGAAAGAAGCGATTTGATTCAGGCAGGCACATCCTTTGCTTCTTTGTGCTCATCAGCCTCTGTGGTGGCTCCCGCAGTCGAAGCGATCATGGACTCGAAAGTCCTGATGACCGAGATCTAAATCTGGCGGTGTTCCCAGCAGTCTATTGTCCGACTACCGGTACGTCCAATGCAGATCCCAACTAAAGACTGGAAGCAGCTCAGGGCAAGGCCCGATGCCACTAATTGGCCACAATGGAAGCTCTGGTCCTGAAACGTTACTCTGGCCAACTCCAGGCCCAACCCTGGACCAATTCCTGCACCAATGCCAGGACGGAGCATTTCCTGGACCAACACCAGTTCCATAGCCAGGCCCCACTTCTTGGCTACAGATAGATTCTCCAAGCTTCGTAGCTGACCCAGTTCTGTTGGGAGTGCGTACTGTGGCAACGCCATTCATTTATCTTGTACAGCACCTTGAGGTAATCCACTCAAATTGAGTCTTTTTTCCCTTTTTCCAAAACATTTTCTTCAAAAGTATGTTTCCCCGTTTGCCCAGTCGTTCTTTTACAGTAGTATCCACGTCAGAAGGATTTAACCGCGTCTCATTTATTTTCACCTTTGCTGCACACCACACCTGCAAACCTTCTTTGACAACCATCACCCTTTGGGCTTTGGGTAGCATCGGCTCGAGCAAACTCATTCACAGAGCACAACAAACTGACTCGAGAGGATGAAGTGCATACTTTCTTTGCTGGTGTTATCTCTGTCTCTGGTGGTTGCAACTATTAATGCAAATGCACCCATCTTGACCCGAGGAACACAGCTTTCCATTGAACGCCAATTTGTGCCACAAGAAGCTGTTTTTGGCCTCTATTATGATCTCATGGAAACGGCAGTTCCTGGACCCAAAGATCGAATTCACAAGGATCTCATTGGTGTCAAGGGAGATGCGGGTATGTCAGTTGAACTTGACGATGGTGAGTACGGTGGCAGGGAGCGGCTAGTTCACAAGTTTCAAGAAATTGTCCGTGGCGGCAACTACACGTCAAACGAAGAAGGGCTTCAACGACAAAGTGGAATATTGCGTCTGGAACACTTGTCACATCCTGACTATCATAAAGCCCAAAAGCTCATCCACCAGGTAGTTCCAAACAACGTCCTTCAAGAGAAGGGGACAATTCACGTCTATCTCTCGAAACCAGACTCGGCGGCTCTGGCCAACCATACGGACGTGACGGACATTTTTGTCTTGCAACTGCAGGGAGCCAAAGAATGGCTCTTGTGTCAGGAGAAAGAGGATTCAATCTTTCCACCGTCCAATGACAACAATTTACAAAACAAACTAGACAGCTGCATGACCTACAATGAATTCGAAATTGATACCATGGTCTGTCACCGAGAAACACTCTATCCCGGAGATGCCCTCTTTCTTCCGAAACGAATCGTCCATTCGGCACGGGCTACCCACGATGGACTGTCGGCACATTTGACCTTTGGATTTGCCAATGACATGTGTTCCGAACAATCATCCGAACCACAATCCTCCTATTACGCAGCCGTAACACGACGGTTCTTGCAAAGCACCTGTACCCTGTCGGATGGAGGCAGTTCGTGCGACAGCTCTTGTGATGGAGGATGCGATTCCAGTTGCAATGGATCCTGTGATTCCGGTTGCGACTGTTTGTGCAATTACGGCCTTTGCAATGGATGCTGCGACTCATCGTGCGATAGCAGTTGCAACTCGGGTTGTTCGTTCTCGTGCGATTCCTCCTGTGACGACTGCCCGTCCTTCGTGGAAACCAACACCGGTGCCGTAATTGGGATTGCCGTCGGTGTGGGTGCCCTACTGTTCGGTGGGCTTGGATTGGCCGTTTGTGCCTCCCAAAAGAACAAGCAACGTCAAGCGCAAGAAGGTGCCAACAACAACACCTCAAAGCCCGTGGAGGCGACACCCGTGGTGGCCGTACCGGTCGTGGCAACTCCAATGCGGACGGCCCCAGCCATGCCTCCCATGGGGATTGAGCCGCACCAAGATGGTACGATCTTGCATGCCTAGCTGTAGATACGACGCGTACTGTTTCGCTGGGTTTATGTTTTGGGAGAAGAGCCCAGGTTTTAGAGGTTCAACAATCTTGATGTAATTTATTTTAAAATAGTGATTGCTTGTAAAACGAAGACTGGACTCGGCGCTCTTTTAGTTGGCTCCGTGTCAATACATTTGCTGTCGACGAGGCCACAGACATTGCTGTGCTGGGCTCCTCGTAGGGTACACCCAGGGGGAGGTCTAGAGTAGGGAAAATATGGGCAAATATGAGGCTCCGTGGGATGAGGGGCCGTATACGCATCGCAATGGTTTCCACTCGATTTGGAAGAAAACGAAGCAGTGAGGAGATTGCGGGGGGAGGGATGCCAGAGGCGGGAGTGTATGGTTTGCAGCAAGCTTGCAATAGCCCAGATGATTTCCCCTGATTGCGAGTACTTTTAAACACAATAATACACTACAATATTATAAAGCTAAAACAAAGCTACATAACTCAAATCACCCACACATGAGGTCGGTTCTGCTGGTGGTTGTGCAGTCATCCATGAATGCCAAATTCAAAGCGTGCAAATCGTACGCTTTCTCGGCGTCATCAATGGTGCCCCGTCGTTGTGGCTTTCTCGGACCATTGGGAGGCGTGATCGTTCCGCGGCGTTGTGGTTTTCTGATTCCTGTCGACTGGAGCGGTGTGTCGCCCTTTTTGTTGTTTTTGTTAATGCTGCCTTTGGTGTGGTTGCTGCCTTTTCTGCCGTGGATGGCCCCCTCCAAGAGTCCTTTGTCGAATGTCCCGCGACGTCGTGGGAGACGAGGCGCTGTTGCCGGTTCTGCGTTGCTTTTGATGTTATTGTTGTTGATTTTTGTATTCTTGGCAATATCTTCTGCCGCCCACTGGAGTGCCTGGAGATCGAGTTCATCTCCGTATCGTTCATAGTAGACATACCTCAATTGTCCATTGGCATCAAAGAGAAGGACTCCTCCTTGTGTCAATGGGTCTCCACGAGGGTCATTGATAATGTTTGTGATTTTCTTGCGATGGTACCTCTGGAGGACAGTAGTGCTCCTTTGAAACAACTTCCACATGCTCATCTTTCGATCTCCCAAGAACTGGAATGTGTCCCAGTTTTTGTCTGTGTAGAGTGGGAATGGAAAGTAGTTCTTGTAAAAGTCTAGTGGAAAGAAAAGAACCAAGAAGAGGAAGGTGAGATGATTGGTAATCAACTAAATGGGAACAGCCCCATTTATGTGAGTGCTTACCAATCAAGATTTTGGAGGATATTTTCTTGTCTTTTCTGTCTCGTCGATGTTCGGTTTCATCTCCTTCCCCGGATCCATCCAAATCCTTGACAATTCCAAATAGATTGAGCTCAATATCTTTTTCGTGCAGTTTAGGCTTGAGCTGAGTGCTCAACGAGAGACCATGATCTCGACACATGCCACAACCGGCACGACGGATGCAAAAGACAGCCGTCACTGTGTTGCTCCTTTCTGGCTCCACCTGAAGCCTCTTGGCACTTTTCTCAGTGGCGGTGCTGTGCTTGAGAATGTCTGCGAGTGGCAAAGTGTAGTTGGATTTGGGAACGGGCTTTAAATCACTGAATTCAATGGGCTGCAGCATGATATCTTTGATATTGACACCCGATTGTTGAGATACCTTTTTGCAGTTCAAGGCTTTCTTTCCACTCTTGATGTTGCCCCAACGATCCCCATTCATTTCGGGGGTAAAGCATCGCTTGGGTTTGGAGGGGGGAGAAGATACTCGGGCCGTGTTGCCAGTAGTACCTGTGGTGCCCGTGGTGTCGCTGTTCCTGAACTTATCATTCTTGCCACCACCATACCGAAAGTTGACGGGAGTGGTATCCGAATGACGGAACGTAGGCGCTTCTTCAAACTCACTACTGGACTCGTCGTCGTCGTCCGAAGAGCTCCCTGATCCGGAGGAAACTTCACTCACTCCATCATCAAAGTCTTCGCCTGCGTCCCAACGACAAAGATAAGTGCGTTCACAGGGGACAAACTCTACCACATCAGGGATCTCAAATGTCATCTTGGTTGCGTTCTTGTGGCTGCGGTAGCTATGTGGGTGGGTCAAGCAAGGCGCTGATGGGCTCTGTGCTGATTTCTTGGTTCTTCTGTTTGTGAGATGTGAGAGGAATCTTCTATCTTCTAAAACGACGCAGAGGATACGAGAAGGATCGAAAATAATTTGGAAGGGTGATGTTGTTGAGGTTTGTGGTTCACGTGTTCACCACCTCGGCCACGCTTAATTAATAAAGAGCCGTAAGACTAACCCATCCAGAAAGCGATGCGAGGTGATGAGGTGATGTCAAACAATAACGCCAATGATCTTGTTAGTCGAGTATTTAATTAACGGTGGGAATACCAGTTCTGAGAATGAGGCGACATTAAATCTTATATCGTTGACCCGATAGTAATTTCGCCGAATAGTGACTGTAAGGTGATCTTATAGATTTAATAACGGATCATGTCTTTGAGTCCTGTTTTAGAATTACGACCCAGGATGCTGAGCAATTTTGTTCGGAATCTGATGAAGCTTCTTGGGCAACAATGGCAATGAATGAATGATCGTCGCCACACAAGGCTCATCTACTAGCTAGCTACAGCCGTAGCTAGCTAGTTCAGGTACATGTAGTTCTTGCTCAGGCTGAAATCTTGAATGGCTCGTGCTGCTCTCTTCCCAAAGCTTACCATCCACAGCTCCATCAAGGCCGCTCTCTCCCATCTTGCATGCAAACTGTATGCCATACGATCTTTCTCTCGGAGTATCCAGGTTTGTCTAGATAGCTAGGCGTTGCCATGGTAAAACCCTCGACTGGGTAGCTATCCAACTTTCTTGTTGCGTCCTGGCTAGTACATCCTGCTGTTCACATCAGATCCAAACCAGTCTGGCTGCCCGTGGCTGCAAGCCTCTAAGAGAACCGTCTTGCTCATTCGGCGTTATGACCAGCCAAGAACTGCCAAAACGCCAAGTGCGCGATGTTTCTTGCTTTTGAAGGATCCTTTGTGCACACCAGCACCGTATTCGTGCACCAGTAATGCACTGTCTCTTATGTGACCCCTTCCTGCTGCTTGCCACCCGTACCACTGGCATGCCTCGTCTTGAAGTTGAACGTTTTCTACCGTATCGTACCATACCACACTACTCATCAGCCATTCAGCCCTGCCCACATGGACAACACGCGACGCAACAATGGCTGCCACCGCGTCGTCTTGCCCTGGCTGCCAGTGATGGCGTCGTCCACACGAACCCAGAAAGAGCAGCTCTGGCTGGTAGCAAGCAAATCCGTTCTATTGTTTGATTCATTCTCATCCATCATAAACATTCTTCCTCCTTGTCTAGCTAGACAGCTATCTATCTCTCTAGCTAGCGAGTAGTCGTTGCAACTCTTCTTCTCTATCTAACCTATCCTATTTAGACGGCTTGTAGCTAAATATTAGGCAGCTGGTGTCACACCACCAACGAAGAAGCAACGGTGAGAAATTTCCGATGATGATCAACTACGTCAGACAAACTTTCTTCAAAAACGTCATCAGTTCAAAGATGCATGACTGAAAGCCAAGATTTTGCTTCGGTGGCCAGCTTCAATTACGCACACCAAACGCTCTGGCCCAATCAACAACAGAAACAGGCAACAACTGTGTCTTCCTACCAACAGGCAGCAGCTTTACTTTCACCAAAGCATGCTTTTGCCGGCTGCTGCGGCTGTCCGAGTCCTCCAAAGAGAACGGATGACGATTGAGGTTTGATTGATGATGTGTCGCCAATCAATTCAAATTTCGAGCTGGGATCCTCAAAAGAGCTCCATCAAAAGTATTCTCACAACTTGTAAAAGACAAAAAGTCAACCGACAATCCAATCAATATCCCTCGAAAGAACTCTACACCATGAAGTTCTCCGCATCTATTGTTGCCCTTGTGGCCTCCCCTGCCATGGCCCTTCAAGGAGGATACCTTTCCCAAATGGCTCATACTCAGACATCTGCCCCCACGGAACCAGCGTTTGGCGGATACTTGGATAACATGGCCAACCAGCAGTATGCAGCTGATGTTGTCTTTTCCATGTCAGATGGAATGGAGGAGCAAGCAACCCCTGTGGATGCTGGTGAGTATTTGACCTCTTTGCATGCTGCCTCCTCACCAGCTGGAAGTGGCCCTACCGGATACCTTGACAACATTGCGCACGCTGCTCCCCAGAATAATGTCGTCTTCTCCTTGTCAGAGATGGCCAACGAACACTCTGAACCTGCTGCTGTCGGGGACTACTTGAACGCCATGGGCGGAGGAAGTGTCATGAAGGCGTCGTCACTCAAGGCTTCCAGTCCTGCTGGTCCAGCTTTCGGTGGATCCTACTTGGACAACATGAGGTCTGGTCCTGTCTTTTCCTTGTCAGCCATGGTGGATGAGCATGCTACCCCTGCTGCTGTCGGGGACTACCTGAACTCCATGGGTGGAGGAAGCGCAATGAAGGCATCTGCTCTCAAGGCTTCAAGCTCGGCTGGTCCAGCTTTCGGTGGATCTTACCTGGACAACATTGCTGGATACGCTGTTCCAGCAGGTGTCACGTTCTCCATGTCGGAGCTGTTTGATGAAAACAGTTCCCCTGTTGCTGCCGATGAGTACTTGACCTCCTTGAAGATTGCCGCTGCTCCTGTGGGAAGCGGCCCTGTGGGATACCTTGATACTCTTCGTTCCCAGGCTTTCCATACTGCACCAAGGAACCTTCCCGGATATTTGGATACTCTCAGTGTTTCTGCCAATACCGTGATGGGTGGCCTTGGTCCAATGAGCTACCTTGACAACATTGCCGGAGCTGGTTTTGTTGCTGCCAAGGTTGAAGCTACCACCGAAGTTGCAATGGTATCCGCCCAACCCGTCTTGGCCGCCATCAACGAAATGAAGGACAACATGAGCAGGAACCAAGAGGCCACCATTGGAATCCTTCAAGAAATCAATTCCTCCGTGAAACAGCTTGTGGATGCTACGCAAGCTGCCCCCGTTCAACAGGTCTCTGCTCCTGCACCAACTGCAGGAGACTACTTGTCTCAGTTGAGTGCTAACAACAACGAATTGGTCCATGCCCTCGAACAAGGAGCTCCAGCCAGCGCCGGAAACTACTTGGCCTCTCTTCGTTAGACTTTCAAGGTCACAAGAATGTTGGCTACCCTTTCCGCATGAGTGGGTCCTGAAGCTCTCGGTTTGGTTCGACCATTATTTCTCACAGTACGAGCGAAGTGACGAGTCACATATGCAACGTAGCACCTGAAATCATAGATAGTTTATTTACCCCATTACTTCAATCGAAGGCGAAAAGCCGTGCTGGTTCAGATGCATTTATTTATAGTTGCTATATGATTGACAAAGCACACCTCCAAAAGTATGGGTAAATGTCAAAACAATTGGAGTCGCTATCAGCCACATCAGGCCTCTCTCTCGCTCCAGTGGTCGCTACGGTAGTCAAGAATCCTCGGCTAACTCAGTTGGATAACACTCCTCCACTTCGAAAGCTGTTTCCGCATATTCTGCGTCGAGTGTTTTCCAGTTTTTCTTCAATGACACGTCGTGCTTGTCAACAATCGATCGCAGCTCTTCCATTCTTCACCGTCAGTTTCTAAGGAATCGCAAAAGGCGTTGAACTCTTCTTCAAACGTCGTCTTGTAGCGCCCGTCATTGGCGTCGTCTTTTGTGGGACTACAACCGTAGTCTTTCGTCATGAGCCTTTTCGCACGACGTTGCGCTTCTTCCTCGAGATCATTCCAAACTAAATCCAGGCCCTCGACGAAAAGCTTGGCCTTTGTTTCGCGATCTTCGCGCGAGTCATCGTTGGTTGATTCGTTCGGGTTTTGGGCGTTGGCTGGGTGGCGGACGACGAGTCTGTTGACGACAACGGAAGCGCTGGGGTTTCCAAGGACTCGTCGTTGTCGTCGGAGATGCGCAGAGGCCGGATTGTTGTGTCTATCGATAGATTGTTGGGTTTGCGGCTACTCATGATGTTTCTTGAACGAGGAGCATAGATGATGGACTCGACGGTGAGAACAGCAAACAGCGTGGAGCGTGGAGAGAGGAAACTACCGGTATGGCTACGAGGGCAGAGGCGCAGATATCGACCGAAACCAAACCGTGCACTACCGGTAGCAATAAGCCAGCAAAACAGCTTTGGGATGCAGCTCACTTTCCACGACGCACAACAACTCCTCCCTAGAATGTACCGGTACATGTACTAGCTAGTACGCATATGCGTTGCCTCTCAGGCCCTTCAGTTTCAAGTCAAGCTCTTGCCATGGCACCCGTCCAGCGTCCAGCGTCCAGCGAACATGCAGCCTACACGGATTTCCTACTCTAAACTCTCCTTTGTTTCTCGAGACAGTGGGAGCAACGCAGGTTGCACGATCGAACTCGTTCTGTCCAAAAAACTCCAACGCAAGTCCAGGAGCGTGGAAACACCTGCACAACGCAACGTCGCAGCGAAAGAGCAACATTGCACAAAATTGGGTTTTATTTGTTTCTACTTTTTGTTGTTGTCTTCTTAAGTAAACTGAACACCACCATGATGGGTTACTATCTTCCTTACATCCTCTTCCTCCTCTTGTCGTTTACTGACACCAGTTCTGCTCGAGTTGAAACGAGGTCAATGGCGGCGAAGGCTGTGTTGGAGACTGTCTCACAAGCTTCTCACTATGTTGCAAAAGAGTGCACCACCCCTGGTAAGCCGTGCACAGAGGCGGTGGAAGCTGCTCAGTCATCTGGAACTATCCTACAAGCTACTTCCACGGTCGATTACATCAATGTAATCACCGGAATTGCCGGAACAGCTGCTTCGCTTCACACAGCAGCTAGCCTTGGCAAGCTAGGGTGGCAAATCTACGAGCGTTTTTATCCCAACACGGAGGCCAAGGACTGGGCTTTGTACAACGAGTTGCTTGGCACTGACAAAGAAGCTTTGGATTGTGCAATGCGTCGAAGGGAACTGGAACCTAAACTAATGGGGAGTTTCCTAAAAGAAGCAAAGGAGGACCGGGAAAGCCTTCTTTCCGTGTGTAAGAGGCTTTTCGGCGACGCATACCGGTATTAGAAAGGAGAAAGCTACCGAAGAGTATTACAACATTCCTGAAGACTTGGAATTGAAGATTGGAATGGAACTAGAAGAAAGCTGCTGGTAAGTATCACCGGGTACTCAATGTGCGCCGCGTTCTCTCGCTATGGCACATTGGAAACTATCTAGCTAGGCACAGACACTGCTGGAGCGTCCGCCGTTTCCTCGCTATGACTCATCAAAGACGTGGGGTGCAATAATAGGAGTGCATATTGAATTATCCATTCTTTTTAGGACAACTAGTAGTAGTATAGTCTGATACCGGTGGGAGCTTTTAGAAGGTTGGATTGCACAACCTGTTGCATTTGTCCCTTTTATATTGGTTGCAAAGTGTCAGCTGTCCTGTCTGTGTTGTCTGTGTTGTCTGTGTTGTCTGTGTTGTCTGTGTTGTCTGTGTTGTCTCAGCGACGACAAAAGTTTTTTAAAAGATGTACAGTATCCTATACCGGTAGAGTGTGGCCGCGGTAGAATCATGGTAGCACTCAATGAAAGCACCGAGAACACGCATAGAACTGCAATAATATCCAATGCAGCTATAGGAGATTGCTCATGCAATGGTTGGAACCGGTTAATGAACGAGGAACAGATGGACGAACAGCCAAGAGCGTGGGCTGTTGCATTGGGATGCACGCAACCAGCTTTGCAAGGAGCCTCTAAACAACTTGAGGCCCTCGTGTCGAAAATCGAGCAATGGGATCACTCTCCAAGATGCCTTGGCGGTACTTTTGACGAGCTTGATTGAGAGCAACATAGTATGAACGTACTGTATGTCCATTATGCCACAGAGCCAGGACTGCCGCCAAGGCATCCACCCATTTGAGGCATCGACTGGACAGTATCAAGTTGGTTTCCAGGGCATAAACAAGGCCCGCTTCCAAGATGAGTGCTAAGAGGACAAAGAAGAAGTCATTCAAAATCCGCTGCATTCGAATCTCATATCCCACACTGGGGAGACGCTTGTCAATCGACAGTCGAATACCAATTTGATTGAATGCAATGTTGAGAACAAGCAATCCTCGATAAAAGAAGTTGGTTGGATCCAGGACCAGGGTGATGACAGCTGCCACAACATTCAAGAAAGCCAGAAGGGGAATCAGGTTTCTGTCATAGTAGCCACTCTCACGCAGAACCATCAAGCTCACTCGGAGGTAGACATCTGGAATGGCACAAAACGATGATCGTCGGTCAAAGGATCCATCTTGTTGGCTGCAGAATTGAAACTGAAGACCAGCACCATGGTTGCTGCTGCTGCCACTACTGTCTTGGCTATTGTAGCTCTTCATGAGTGGCAAAATTCCCTTGCTATGTGACATTGCTGGTTGTTGTGGTTGGTGTCGATGAAAATGAAACTCAGGAATTCGAACATGATCCACCACCAGCCCATATGGGATCTGTAACGCTTTTCGTGATACTCGGACGTCATCTTCAGTTGCCAATCCCAATCTCCAAAAACGACGGTCCCACCGTTGTCCAGCTCGTCGATTTGATAGAATAGCCAGCTCCAATGCAATGGTGTGACAGTCGTGTGGGAACTGATGCACACTGAGGCGGTCTTGAACCACAGTAGCACGGTACATGCAAGTCCATCGAACCCGACGACTTTCCGTATCAAGCATATCAATTTCAGGACTCCCAATAATGGTGAAGGTTGATACATTTAGAATCGAAAGAGGAGGAATATCAATGGCTTCATTTTCATCGTTGTTGGTCTTATCATTGCTTGAATCCACTTTCTGTGGGAGCGCCTTTTGTCGTCCTTGCATTTGGTATGGAGCCATTTTTTGGTTCCGCTGTGGTTTGGAAGAACTGCCAGTAGCCGATCCTATAGTAGGAACATCATTCCAAAACAAGGAGACTCGAAAGGTCATGGGCACAGTACCAGAAGCGACATCCAAAGTTCCAATGTTCCATATGACAACTTGGAACCTTATTGTCTGGATATGGCGGCTTGGTGAGCTCAGAGATAATTTGGTAGTGCTGCCAGTTGGATGGAAGTAGTGTCCATTGGAGCCGTAGTCATTGCTACTACTGACCCCAAACACTCGGTCCAATTCGCGCATGTCCACATCAGTATCGTCGCCATCGTTATCTGTCTCGCTTCCGAAACTGGGGTAGCTGTTGCTAGTAACGTTACCCGACTCTTCGGTCTCTTGGTCAATCAAGATGCGTTGTCCGTATTCCGTTGTCATGGTTGATGATGAATGAGTGCTCTACAAACCGTACATCGACCATTCTTTTGACTTGGAAGCGAGAAGCAGAACTGCCAAAATAAATGCGAAGCGATCTTTGTTATGCTTCGCTTCCGACTTTGCCCCCTATAAGCCAGTGTGAAGGGTGAACTGAGGTCAAAGCCGCAGAAAAGTGGAAATTCAGGACAAGCTACATGTACATGTACTAGCGAGCCAAGGTTGTGGGGATCAGGGGCGACATAATTGAGGACCACAGCAATGATCTTTCTATTCACCCTCTCAGTTAGAGCTATAGGGCCAATGGAGCAGCAACTGTCACACTGTTGTAGCAGCAGCAGCAACAACATCAACGAAAGCCCAATCCAATCAGGAGGATGAGGCTCTTCCTTTCCAAGAACACTGCTGTGGCAGCTGTAGTCGCCTTTGCTAATCTCCTACTGAACGACTCGGTCTCCTGCGTGGTGCTGGCGATGAAGAGGTAAGAAGAGCAACCATAGGGCTTGAATGTCATTTTGGCTGGAAATTTTGGCACTCTCTCAACGCCTTCTATTCTTGCACATACCGACTATAGCAGTACAATAACGTGCCACAGCAACTCTTGGCTGGCTGGATGATCCTCGTCACATGCACTATCATGCTGCAGCAAACACACCTTCTGGTAGCAATGCTGCATCAACATCCAACAGCAAAATGAAAGGAGACCAACAAGAAGAATCACCAAAAGGTGGCATACTTTAGGAAGAAGGAACGTCGGAAAATGAAGACCCTGTCAATGGATGGAACGATCCAGGAACCAGCTACGAAAGGCCTCTTGCTCAACAAATGTTTTGAAGCCGAGGAGGAAGGCTTGCAGATAGTCAATCAAAAGAACGTCGCAAAGGGTGTGGGAAGAGAAGAAGACCAGCCAAGGCAAGCGGAAGAGAGACATGGAACACGGAGAATAGCTAGGAGAAGAAAAACTTTGGCGACATATAGCGTGCAGCATCAATGTATGTTTACACGTGGAAAACAGATCCCTTCTCTCTGGCATGGTCCCAGCCTAATGCATGTGTTGCGAAAACAAACCAAATGCTTGCCAGAAACAATTGTGAATTTACGGGAAGAGCTTTCTGTTTGCTCCAGCCATACCATACTGCCGTACCGGTACTGGTACATACCAGCAGCTATACGGTATATCTGCATATAAACGAAACATCTACCGACTGAAAAAGACATTGGCATCGCGTTTGTCCTTGTCGGTCCATTCTCCCAAGTTGACCTTGAGCCTCAGTACTCCTTCTTGCATATCCTGTGCCACAATGGTTTTGCAACCGAGTCGACATTTTGGATTGTTTTTCATGAGTTTTTCTTCGGTCAATGACATGGGGTTGAGCAATTCCATTCCCAAGTCAACCTTGATGGTGCACTTGCCCCCGCAAAAGTCACACTTGCGCGTGAGTTTGCTGTCTTCAAAGACAATGCCTCGATTGAGCAATGCTTGACGGAGATTTTCTCCGGCAAAGAGTTCCACTTCTTCCGTGTTTTCTTTGGGGTTGGCACACTGAATGGGTGGATACTCGACAACGACCTGCACTTTGGGCCATCGTCGCAGTCGTTTGATGGTCAAGACGACAGATTCCGCTTCGGCTGGAAGGGACGTGAGAAGGCCCATGGTCGTGTCAAAGTTGCGACATTCACACGCCAAGTTTTCAACGCTTTCACTGGAACTCAAGGATGCCGATGATTCGTCGGCATCGCCATTGTTGGTGACAATGGTAATGGCCGCAATGGAATCACCGGGAATGACACCGGCTTGTTGGGCATTGCCGTTGACGCCTTCGACAATGACAATGCCGAGATCGTCTTGTTCTCGTCCTCCGGCCAATTCCAGCAATTCCAGTCCCATGCCACCTTGTCTCGAAACACTGAGTTCGATCGTGTCCACGTAGTGGTCCTTGGATTTGCTGTCCATGAACGGAATTCCAGCTTGACGTTCCAAAAAGGTTGTTTCGCTCACCGAGACGGTCCACAAGGCAGCGGCTTGTTCCAACGACACGTTGAACTCATTCGGGTCTACTGCGCCACCAGATGTAGTACCAGCCGTCGTGGGACCAGTGTCAGTTCGAGTGGACGACAAGGAAACCAGACCGTGGCACCCGAGGGTTGTGCTTTGTGGGCCGACAAAGGCAGAGCAATGCTGCAGCGACAATGCCAACAGAAGCAGGGAAAGAATAGTGCTCGGTCTCCTCATTTTTAGCGATATCAAGACAAGTGAAGAAATTATGGAGCTTGAAGAGTAGTAACTATAGAATCCTCTTCAAAGGTACCGGTAGTGGGCCACATAGCAGCGACACCGTCAGGCACCAACCATGTTGCAACAGAAACAGGTGGCACAGTGGCGTCTTCATTTTGCTTTTCTTCTGGTTGTTCCAGCATCATCTCACTATTCCGAAACACGTCACTCACCTCAGTCATGTCCGTGAATGGTTGCTCTTTCACTCCACGCTCTTGGCTTTCGTACAGTCCCTTTCACGCATCGAACCGAACCGCTCTTTGCGACAGCCAGTTCGCGGAAAAACTACTAGCTATTAACAGTAGCCTTAGCATTGAACTGGCTACGGTAGCTTCTACATGCTAGTAAAGCTTGTGCGCCATGAAGCCAAGGAACCAAAGACGAATGGAATGAAGATAGATGTCGATGGAGTGTGGTAATCACACGCTAACGCCCCCATAATGTTGGAGAACGTAGAATCAGTAACGGTACCCTGTACCTCGTCGATGTGTGGAGATCGTGGATGGTTAGACCGTGGAAGCAATCTCGACAACATCGTGGTTCGGTTACCTCCATTGGAAGGTAGATGGAAGGCAACAAGCATAGTCTTACTTCTCTCGATTCTTTCTGCTGTCATTATGGTCGCCGTCCTAATCTCGCTCGTCTTCAGAATGGGTTCGCGAACCACAGTGATATCTTCTGGACTAAAACCGTATTATCAACGAGCTTCTGCCACAATAGTGGCGGGGTTTCGCGTTGCCTTGCAAAAGCCCGCTTGCATTCCAAGTGCACGGTCTCTAGCTACCAGGACAGGCAATGGGGTTGACGCTATCAGATCCCTTCGTTTTCCACCATTCTACGAAGCTTTGCAAAGAGTGAAAACTAATCCCACCGCAACAGAACTTGCATCACTTACCAGCCCATCACTGTTGCTCGCATCCAAGGTACCTGCGCTATTGGATCCTTGGAGCCTTGTTTCAACCCATTATGCGGACAGCACTATTAAAAAACGACCACAGCTTGTTAAGCGTGCTGCCTCCCATTACCGCTATAATGATGGACCAGAGGGACGTGCTTATCATGGAACAAGAAAAGTTGAATACCGCAAGGATGAAGAGCTGAATGTGCAAGTGCAAGTACAATGCCTCCTTACTGGATTATTTGCCCATAACAAGTCAGGTCCCGGAAGGGTAGTGGCGGCACATATCCTACCCCGCAGTCTTCCTGACCACATCTTCCAGAGCTTTGGACTACCTTCCAATGCTCGGGATCACCTATGCAATCTACTACCCCTTTGCGATGGTATTGAAAAGGCATTCGATAGCAAACGAATTACATTTCGTGTGGTCTCCGAGGCCACAGTAGGAGATCAGGAGTTTTGGGGGTTACTGTTGATCATCCTCGATGGAAGCGTCAAAACGGAACCTCTTTGGAAGGGTGCAAAGGCAAAGATTGGTGATTTCTCTGACCAACGTTTTTGGATCAAGAAGGAGAGTAGAGCCTACACAACCATCTTGGACTACCATGATCAAGTGGCTTTGTATTCTGCCTTGGAAAGAGGGTGGACTACATATGAGCAACTTCTCCATGTGCACCACCAGCAGTTGTTCTGGAAGATGGCAAGACAAAGCCACACGATGGGCTTCATCAGGCCAAAAGAGTTGGCTGGGTTCTTTGCTTTTTTCTTAGCCAGAGATGAAGAAGTTGAGCAAAATACTGTTCTGTAACTTCTGCAGAGACAAATGCTCGTAGGATAGATTAAATTGATTGAATCATCCTGATACGAGAGTTGGCTGGGTTCTATGCTTGACTGGGATGCATGATTTGGTAGGAGTAGGTAGTGGCGTACTGTACCATGGTTGCGGTGTCTTTCGAGCAAGACACAGATTGGTAACTTCTGTAGAAGCGAATACTTTGTAGGCTAGATTAGATTGATTCAATTAAGTTGTCCAATCGAAAGCAGTCTCCATCAGTGCTACTCCTCTAATTAGTTATTTGTACCCGTACCGGTGTGAATCACCACCACCATGAGACCTCGAGGTGGAAAAGTTAGCGGTACGGTGCCGGTAGCTGTCAGGGAACACGAAACTAAGCGAACTGAGAAAATTGGGTACTGAAAGGTCGTTGACAAAATGTTTCGTACTGTATCTGGTACCTTCTGGAGAGGGCTGAGACTCGGCTCGAGCGTCGGTGGCAAGAACTGGTAACAGTACTGGCACCATACTAGTACCAACATGAACAGGTGCCAGCAGGATACGCGCTACAGCAACTAGTTTTGGGCGGCGGACCCATAACAATGAAGAAGCTAATGAACTCGTCACCGGAGCGTGGATTTGCACGCTAGTTAACCACAAAATAAATGTACAGTACATACAAGAAGGTTGCACCATGCAGGGCCGTATGATCAGATCGTGGAAGATGTGGCGTGGCTTCGAAGACACAGGGCTTTCCTGTTGGAAGGATGCAACCTTCTTTCAGCCATAGTCGTTCCATTGCTACATCCTTGAGGAGATTCATCGAAACCTGCCGTACGAAAACACTTCTCGCTCTTCTACAGCTTTCCGACAATGGGGTCACGAACGACGACGGTACCCTCCCGACCGAAACTCTACCAACGTGCTTGGACCGCGAATTTCTTGAAAGTGCCCACACGGATTACAACTGTTCGGCTTGAAGCATCCATAAATGGCCCACCAAACAAAACAAATAGGGCGTGCACCATCAGCACGGTGTGTTTTCCACCCTTGTACCACCTTTTGAATCCTCTCGCGAATCGCACCACAGAAGAACTTACATCACCGAAACATTTACTGCTACCAAGCGCACCGGCCCTTTTGGATCCTTGGAGCAAAGAAGCTAAAGAGATTGCATCGCCCTCCAAAAGAAAGTCGGGACTGGTGCGGCCAGTTGCATTGTGCCACAGCTACAATGATGGACCACGAGGAACTGTGTATCACGGAACAAGAACAGTCAATGGCAACGAGAATGAAGAACTGCAAGTGGAAGTACAATGCCTCCTTACTGGATTATTTGCCCTGAATGAGCCAGGTCTCGGTCGAGTAGTGGCGGCACATATCCTTCCCCGCAATCTATCGGATGGTATTTTTCGGAGCTTTGGACTACCACCAGGATCCCGTGACCACATTCGTAACCTGTTGCCCATTTGTCGGGGCATCGAAGAGGCATTCGATAGCAAACGAATCACGTTTCGTGCCATCTCCGAGGCTACCATCAAGGATGAAGAGTTTTGGGGGTGCCAGTTGATCGTCCTCGATGAAAGTGTCGAATCAAAGCTTCTCTGGAAGCATGCAGAGGCCCAGATTGGCGATTTCTCCAACCATTGTTTCTGGATCAAGAAGGAGAGCAGAGCCTACACAACCATCTTGGACTATCATCATCAAGTGGCTTTGTATTCTGCCATGGAAAGAGGCTGGATCACGTATGAGCAACTTCTCTGTGGGCACCACCAGCAGTGTTCTGGAAGACTGCACAATGGGTGTCGACAAGAGGCGGACGCAACTCTTGTCCAGGATGCAACTCCAGCACTGATCACCCCTGGAGAGTTGGACAGGTTCTCTGCTTGACTGCGACGAAGGATTTTTGTACCAGTAGAGGCAGCCAGTACCATACCATGGTTGCGGTGTCCTACTCCAATCAGAATCTTTGCCAGAGACGAGATAGATGAAACACCTCTTCCGTGAGACAACTTCACTACTAGTAGTAGTATATGTACTGTAAACCGCCTTTCTTCTAAGGCCTAAGCTTGTGGTGGTAACTGTACAGTATGACTTAGTCATCAGTCCAATTATTGAAAAGCCCAAAAGCCATATCACCTCTGACTTCTGACCTTCCAATTTGTCATTCAGTTCCAGGCCTCAAGGTGTATGCATACATGTATTAGTAAAAGAGCTAAGAAACTGGCGCACTGGCATGTTTACACTTATTACTTATTGCTAGTACTCAAGTAGTACAATGTACTAGCTAGTAGCGAGTAGCGATTGATAATGAGATAACCTGATTTGGCCATTACAATAAATACTATTGAAGTCAATAGCTCTAAGGGTTTAACTGGAGGTTAGAAACAATTATGAGCTATTGTCTTTGGTGGCTGTCCCCGCCGACTACCTTCCAAACACCACCCAGCCAAACATCACCAAAAGATGCGACAAACCTACCTGTATGAACCAGACAGCACACACAGCTCCACCATGCCTTCCCAAGCCAATCACACCAGCAACATCAACAACACACACTCCGTACTCCTTGTGCGGAGGGTTTGTGTTAAAGTCCCAATCCCACTGCGACATTGACCCTTATATCCACCAGAAGCACGTCCCACGAAGCCAACCAGCATGGCTGCCCGGCTCGCGGGACACATTACTTAGATGTAGATCCAGCAGATCCCCTAACGGCATTTACCGACGCTAACCGCCGTT